TAGATTCTGGATATTAGTCCTTTGTCAGATGGGTAGACTACAAACATTTTGTCCCATTCTGTAGATTGCCTGTTCACTCTAATGATAGTTTCTTTTGCTGTGTAGAAGCTCTCTAGTTTAATTTGATCCTATTTGTCTATTTTCGCTTTTGTGGCCATTGCTTTTGGTGGTTTAGTCATGAAGTCCTTGCCCATGCCTTTGTCCTAAATGGTATTGCCTAGGTTTTATTCTGTTGTTTCTAAATAAAAGTAAATTTGTAAAAGCTTTTGAAGAATTTGTAGTAAAGTTAATCTCATGATAAAAGCTTGTAAATGTTCACTTTTCTATTTCATATGATGTACAACTCTCTTTTCATACTTATTAAATTTACTTTGATACATACTTGTTTCACTCTGACATCATATAAAATAAAAGAAAAAAAGCATGTTAAAAATAATTTTAAATTATTGTAAGTGACTGTATGGACTATGAACATTTACCATTCAACCACAATCTGTGCTGAATTAACTTCACACCTAGGGACACCATTAAGTTTCTTGAAATTACTTGTGTAAATTACAAATCTACTTCTTGCCTAGGTATGGCAAGGCATAATCTAGCAAATGAATATTTAATAACGAAAAGATATTAATGCTAATTATATGAGAAATGATGAAACACATTCTTACCTTAAAATGTCTACATGGAGGCTATTTAGACACAATTGCACAAACCCAGCTTACAAATATTAACTGCTGCTTGGTATGTGTTATTTTTGCACACAGCAGTGCCAGAATAATATATAAAGCTAAAAATGTATAAACCATTAAACAAACCATATATATGAAAGAAAATAGCTTTAACAGATGTCTTATTTTAGAGTTTTATGTACCAAATTTTGGTGGCACATAATGATGATGGAATCATTCTTCCAGACCTAGGCCTCAGTTTAACAGTAGAATTTGGGAAGGAATTTCTGTGGGCAGCTTCTTGCTGCCCACCTACAAGAATATGATGCTATAAATGCAAGTGTTCCATAGAGGTAGATCATCCAATGGAAGGGATTTGATACATTTGTCATAAGAAACACTGTCTACTAGTCACAGTGTACTTAAAAATGGAGCCCTAAATCAGGAGATTCATTATCTCACTTACCAAGACTGGTATTATCTTCAGGATCAGAATTTGAGTCCATACTGAGATTCCACATTAGACGAGGAGAACATGAAACACAGACTAAATGCATTGTGACTGGTCTAGCTAACTCAGCAAGCAGGTTGCAAGATTTTGAATAAATGTGTTTAGTTACAAATTATCTCTCAAATTAAAACAACAGTGTTTTAAGGGAGAATATTGTGCCCTGACTTCATGGCACCTAGGAAGATTGCCATTTTAAAGGATGAGAATTATATAGAGATGAATTAGTTAAAAAAATAACTAAACACAGATTCATTACAGTTCTAGGAAAATCTGACTCCTTACCTCCTCCTAAATATTAAGCACATTTTATTTTAAAAAATGACAAAAGTATGACATTATCACATCTGACAATTGTCTTTGTTTTTCTGTATCTAAAAGTAATCTATGCTTGTCTGTATTAGTTGAATTACTAATTTGCCTTCAACCATTACCATTATTTCACATCTTTATCTGGAAATTAAAAAAAAAATTAACAGGTACAATTCACAGATACATATTTTAAAATCTTATATTTTTTAAAACAATGAATGAATAATTTTATGTGGCTCATAGGAGTAATGTTAAATATGCTCTTCTCTGAACTTTCAGTATAAACTTTCAGAAGGTTAGTCATGAATCAAATCATTCTAGGCCATTTTATAAGAGAAGTATAAGATGTAATTATGTAAAAAACTTTCATGGTTTATGCTTTAATATACAAACCTGCTGACCTTGTAATTTTATAATTTCTATTTATAAGCATTTTAACCATGAAATTAATAATGGCAACTTACTGAGAATTTAATTTTTATTTTATTTTATTTTATTTTATTTTTTTTGCGGCGGACTTTCGCTCTTGTTTCCCAGGCTGGAGTGCAATGGCGCGATCTCGGCTCACAGCAACCTCCGCCTCCTGGGTTCAGGCAATTCTCCTGCCTCGGCCTCCTGAGTAGCCTGGATTACAGGCATGAGCCACCATGATCAGCTAATTTTTTGTATTTTTTAGTAGAGACGGGGTTTCACCATGTTGACCAGGATGGTCTCGATCTCTTGATCTCGTGATCCACCCGCCTCGGCCTCCCAAAGTGCTGGGATTACAGGCGTGAGCCACCACGCCTGGCCGAGAATTTAATTTTTAAATTAACACTCTCACAAAGAGTGAGCATGTGATTAATATCACTTCAATAAAGAGAAGTTGGTAATTACTTTAGACCAAAAGTAATACATTCTGAACTTCTTATATATTAAAGCACTACTTCATATCTTGAAGTATTTCCATTTTAAAAGGATCCTGGCAAGCCAGTAAATACCATTGATAAAGGGAAAATAATCACTTTTGTCCCAGGCTTTTATTTTTCTTTGCCTTCTTAATTTTCTAAAATTTAGAAAGTTAATATAAAAATTACCTAAATGTTTAAAAATATGTCACATGTACTGCCCACTAAAAATAAAATCCAAAGTGCATACATTTCATTTTTCATTCACATATAATGCATATGCACCAGTGTTAGCTGACTCTGCATTTTATGTCACTGATTTGGCATGGCATCTTTTTACAATGTGTCCCAGATGTTACGTAAAGTTCTGACCATGTGTTAAAAATGTATACACATGCATGTGTTGTATGTGTGTTTCAGAGGGTGTGTGGGGGAATTTAACAATAGCCTTCACAACTCTAATAAAAGCTACTATTTAGACCATATGAAAGTTTACTATTTTATAAAATTTAAATAGTGTTAGTGAGCTTTCATAAAATGTGTACTACTTTATCGCCTTTAAAGCGGACAACTGATGACATAAATTTTCTGGATGATTGTCAAGTATGTGTTGATGCAGCTGTTGCCATGCAAGACATGCTGAAGCATCTACTGCAGTTTCAACTAGTTGAGCATGGCTCCCTTCATGAAATAGGTACTAATGGCTTATGACTTACAGTGACGAATATCTAAAATATAGATTGCCAGTAAAAATAAAATCTTATTTATACTTTGTAAAAGTTGTGGGGAGGAAGAAGATATTTTCAACTACACAAAGAGGTACTGAATTCAAATAATGAAAGGCACATTTCTGAAAGTGAAAAGTGTTTCAGAAAATTCAGGAGTTGTTCTCCAAAGGTACAAAATACACACTGGAAAACATACATTTGTCTGTAGTATAATTCTATAGTAAGTCTCCAATGTACTCTACGCATTTGGTTTTACTGTGGGTCACTTCTTGTTCGTCAAAGCCTGAAAAACTTTTTAAGCCACAGCACAATTAGAAGTTTTCATTTTTCTGCTGAGGCAATATTATTTGTCAAACAATGAGTATTAAGAGGGTTTAGATTTTTATTAGCTCAATTACATTATTGCATTTTACAAGAGAAAGCTAAGATGATAACAACTTACTTCCTATAACTTACATTTGCAACCATCTTTCAACACTAAAAAAACCCTATTTGAAAAGCAAGCCTCATGAGCACTTTCCTTCTTACAGTCACATGCTTTTTAATTTTCCAATGAGAAAAGCTTATACTCCATACTTTAAACACATATTGAAATAGAATACGGTCTTCATCTTTATTTTAAAGAAAATAGAGATAACATTTATATTTGAATTGAATCTATCCCCAGCTTTCAACCTTCTATTACCAGTTGTTATGCACTTTATCTTGTTAACAGACGTGTTCATCATATCTCCATATTTATAAAATTAATACAAAAAAAGCTAATGTCTTAGAAACAAATTCTCCCCTAAGTAACACACACACACACACACACACACGCATTGTAGGTTTCACAGCAGATAGACCTGGTTATAATATTTGAGGCAACTATTGGTCCTGGAGGCAGGCAATCACCAAGGCAGATTTTTCCCCCTCTCTCTTCTCTCCCTCTATATCTCTCATCACTGCTAGGAGCCTCCGGTTTCCATTCCTGCTTTCTGTCACTCTGTCTTGTCACTGATTTGCATGTGGCTCCATCCTAGGAACCCCAAAATAGTCAACTCAGTGACAAAATCACATCGTATTTCAATAAAAGAAACCATGTTTGATATTCCATTTCTAAATTCCTGAGAGAGAATGTTAGGTTTGTGGATCTTGGATCAGTTTTTCTTTTCTATGTCCTGTAATTGACATCTCTTAGAATGAACAGCTGATAAGTTTCTACAAGAAAAAGGCAAGGTGAGGAGAAAAGGATTGATATATCTGATACACTTGAATTTACAGAAAACATATATAATAGAATAGTAGAGAACTAAAAATTTATATTGATCTTCCATAAGCAATTTATCAAGTATTTTTAAACAGTGTTCTGCAAGATACTCTGTAGGTGCTTTAGAATCACCCAAAGGAAGTAAAGAAATCAGCCATTGAAGGGCAGAAAGAATAGGTAAAATGATGGGCCCAATTTCCCAGAGCAGCTCAGAGGCTTAAGTTTATGTCTGCTGTATTCTATTGAAGCTCTACATGAAATACTCTTTGAAGAAAAAGTCATGTTTTAAAAAAATATATTTGGAAACCACATTAGATGATTCTTTTCCAAAAGCTGTTGTGAGTTTATACCAACTTATGAGTACATGTAGGCTGATATAACAGCGTGTTAATAAAATAGTTAATACTACCAGATTTACATGCTAGTTCCTCTAATTTCAATTGCATTACACATTCCATAAGCTAGGTACTCACTAATAATCATAAATGATGTTAATGAGATATAACTATATAGTTGCCCTGATTAAATAAAGTAGAAATATGATATTCTATGTATAGTTTTATAAATGATATAAGAATGTCTAGATAATTTATGAGTAAGCTTTAACAATAAACATTAACAAAAAAAATTGTGGGATTTCATACATACCCTCGTGCTGGAATATTCATGTGCCTTGCAGACTTAACAACCTCCTCAAACTTTCCCATGCTTTCTTCAATGGAACAGTTAATGTTCTTCTTGCTAAAGGATTCAGATGCAGCTCCAAAAACTGATATCTCAGTGGCTCCAGCAGCAACCTGAAAAATACATAATTTACAGCCAAAGCTAGTGATTTCAAAAATGTAAATGATGGTGGTAGAAGAAAGGTGAACTACTCTATGAAGGCATACATGTATTCTTGAACATTTGCCTTAGAATTTAAAATTGGATTCCTCTCATCTTGCCACATATACTCTTTTGAAGTGTAAATATATTTTATTATAACAGAATAATCTGCAAACTGCAGTATTCATAAGTCTGTGAGGCACAAAAATCACAATGAGGTTGTCCTATTTAATTTTGCCTTTTATAAATGATGTTTTAACTTCAGAAATACTATAACTCTAATTATGGAAAATACTAGAACCCCAATAAAACTTTCTCCTCCATGAAAAATTATTTTCAAACCAATTATTAAAATGGAGGATACTGAACACGTTCTGTTTTCCTTCTCTTCCTACAATTCAACAGAAAAATATTTTTCCAATCATCATTTAGATTTTGCCCCCAGTTTTTCTTTGATCTCCTAACTTAGCTTTTATTGTTTTGTATCCTGACTTTTACAAATACACTCTTGTGTACCTAATGCTTTGATCCTTTTGCCAGTCTTTAAATCCAAAATATTAATCTAATCAATTTACTTTTTGCATCTTTTGTCAACTTTATTCCTTCCTCCAGTCTTCTCCAATGACTTGCTTTCAAATGTCAGGTCTCTTAGTCTTTCGGCTGGATTTTTAAGACCTTCTGTTAATGTATTTCTAGCATTTGGCCTTTGTTCTCCCCTCTTGCTAATCCCCCATTAATATATGAAGAGAGAAAAACCTAAAAACTACCTTTTCATCTTTCCTTAAACATTTAAAAAATATTGGCTTCCCTGACTCTGTCCAAAATAAATTTTTAATTTCTAAAGTAAAAACCCTATTAGTGAACATCTACTATTTGTCTGTACTGTTTTTAGTACTATGGATGTGCTTTTTGTAATCAACAGACAACTATGTAAACTAAGCATTGTGATGCCCATTGTACAGATGAAAGAGCCGTAGCACAAAAAAAGGTAAATACTTAGCGTAACATTGCACAGGGAATAGAAGTTCTGGAGTCATGTTTTGAGCACAGAATTGCTAAAAGGTAAATATTTAGCGTAACGTTGCACAGGGAATAGAAGTTCTGGAGTCATGTTTTGAGCACAGAATT